TCGAGATAATCAGGGATGCATCCCCATGCTCTGGGTGTCCCTAAACCTCTGACTGCCAGATGCTGGGAGTGGACAACGGGATGGTTCACTCAGTGATTGCTTGTTCTGTTCATTCCCTCCGAAACACCTGGCACAGGCCACTGTCAGAAGACCGGATACTGGACTAGACGGACTATTGGTCTGACCCATTACGGCAGTTCTAATGTTCAGCAAAAATTACAATCGATTTTTGCCTTTGAGAAGGATGTTACAGGAGATAGTGTACTGCCTTTACTGAATATCTGAGAATCAAGTTCTACACAATGGCATGTGGGAAAACAGTAAGGGTTGGATTGAGAGGCAAAATAACAGGTGCAAAAGGCAGTCACCCTTGGTGGATTGAATGAAAACAAAGTTTTGATTCCAGGCCAGAAATTCAGTCAGGCTGGAAGTCAGGTGATCCAACAGAATAAACTTCTGCTCTACAAATAAGAAGAAAAAGTTACAATTAAAAATTCCAAATTAGAAATCACAGGAAAAAACATAGCAAGTGTAATACTAGAAATACAGATGTCCTTGCTAAAACTACTAGCAAGTACTTACTTATACATATTTTCAGTGAGTGTTTGCGGTTAAAATATAAATTAAATAGCACAAGGACATCCATCTGCACGATAACAGAGCAAATGATGAAGTGCTAAGAGTAATTCAGGGAATCCCAGCACAGATGAGACAAATTGGTGAACTGCTGTGAGACTCTCTGCGGTCAGCTACACGGATAAGGGATTTCTTTGTTTCTGAGGGGGCATGTGTAAAATGTTTCACTGAATTGAGTCTCCTACAGCACCTCAGTAGGTTACATCAGACAGAGAGGAGCTGCAGTGACTAGGCATTGGCGTGTCTGTGCCTTTAAGAACCCAGCCCTGGGAAGCCCATGCTGAGAGGTGCTGTCTGTGAGAGGGGAAATAAAAAATCTTCTCTGAAGTCACCCTATTTCTGCAAACATGGGTGTCTCAGCCCACCAGGGTAACTGTTACCCCTCTGCCCCGCCTGTGCCACGGTTTTGCCCTCTGCCATCCTCTGGCAACGCCTCACCCCTGGGCTTAACTCCGCCTCCTTCCCCCCCCCTACACCATCCCTGGTTTTCCCCTTCAGCCCCGATCTTAACCCTGCCTCCAGCTGCTTGACCCCCCTGACCAGTCAATTTCTGCCCCCTGCTCATACACTGGCAGCGTGTGTCAGAGGTGAGGGAAGGAGAGGAACAGATTAGCAGGGCAACATAGACTGCTCGAGTGAGCATTGTGGGGGAGCAGGGGGAAGACTAGCTGAGTGGGAGGGTTGACAGGCCAGAGGAGATAATGATGTCGCACACACCAGGGCTAGTGTGTTGTGGAGCTCAGACTGTTTCTCTTTCCACAAAACACGCTTGGTTTCTGGACTGCTGAACCCCTAGCACCACAGCACTCCCCCAAACTTCAGTTGTATTGATTCCAGTGAGCACAAAATGACAAGGAGAGCACACGAGATGCTGCAAGACTTTATTGGCACAAACACAGCCCCAAGCAGAGGGGAATCCCAGCTGCTCCCCCAACAAGAGTGAGCAAGACAGAAACTTCCAACCTTTCCCAGCCCTTTCCTGCTCAGCCTAGAGAGAGCAGCTCTGGGTCCACAGCCATCCTGTTGGGTACATGTGGCCTCTCTTCTTTCTTAGCTGGTGATGCGGATAGTTGCATTTATCAGAATGGAAATGCAGGGGGAGAGGGCTGGATATGCAGAGCCTCTGGCACCGAACGCAGGACAGTGTGTGTAATAACTTGGCCCTGGTTCCTTATTATGAACTGATCATGCCGGGACCTTCTGAAGTGGAGAGGCTGAAATCAGGCTAACGGAGGGAGAACCTTGTAACACAGGTAGTTGGTGACGGTGACATTTGCAGAAAGGCAGAGAAAATTACCTACTTGGGGGTTACTTAAATTTTGTTTTTCTTTCTGATTCTCTTGGAAGTTCTTCCTATGCCCTAGCTCAGTTTTGTGTGTTGCTAATGCAATGGACTCCATTAGAGTCATAACTATAACGTCCAGAAGGGGGCAATTATGACCGTCTAGTCTGATTGCCTACAGCACACAGGCCACAGATGTCATGCAGTGACGTTTGCATCGCACCCAACAGCATGCAGTTGATACAGAGTATATCAGAGCATTTACACAGACATCCAGTCTTGATTGAAAGACTCCAAGTGATGGAGAATTTACCCATCCCTTGTGGAGCTGTTCGTATGGTTGACTTCCCTCATAGCTAAAAACACTGCCCTTTGTTTTCAGCTTGGACCTTCCCTGTGTTCAGTTTCCAGCCACTGAATTTTATCAGAGGAGAAGTATGTGCGTCCGGGGCCGGGGGCAGGGCCAGAGGCACGGCGGGGGCAGCAGAGGCAGCGAAGGAGAAGGTAATGATGAACCTTCATGGCTCTATTTTGTGGGACTTGATTTTACCCTTGGAACAAAAGCTTCATACCACTGGCTGGAGAAGGAATGTAGAAAACCTGGACAAGGCAGTGGAGCAGGGCTATGAACTGCCAAGCCCAGAGGTGCCGGGTCTCAGCCCAGGCTGGTACAAATTAAGCACTGCGGGGGAGCGAGAGAGAGCGAGAGAGCTTAAATGGACACTGTTACTCACTGTGAGGCTGAGATGGCGGGAGTCTCATTTAGATCCGGCATTTCACAATCTTGTCCTGGTCAGTGATAAGCCACAGCTGGCCCAGGTCATAGGACACATGTTTGCAGTTGAGCATACTGGGCACATTGGTCCAGCTGGTGCCGACGGGGTTGCTTTTAGTGATTCCATCCCTGAAAGGAAGTTGACAGGACTGGTGTTAATACAGGTCTGCTAAGAGAAGGACTCCGCCTCTATCCCAGCCTGTGGAGAGCAGCCCAGAGGGTAGCCCCAGCACATGTTTTTCCTTGCTGTCCGCTCACAGCCCTGCATTGCAGCACCCATCCTCCTATACATGAGTGTCTGGCTAGACCCTATTAATATGGCAGGATCAGAGCTGAGCAAACTTCATCTCCCTGCAGAGTGGGCTGAGGGCAGAAGGTCAGGGAACATCGTCTCCAGAGAAACATTCCTGCTTCCAAACTGCATGGGGAATTTCGTCGGTCTTGGCAGGTGACATGGAATGAAAGCCAGCGACAGAGTGGTATAGAGAACACCAAGAGAATCCCACAGCGCTGCAGGGGGAAATGCCACAGCTCCCCCCGGGAATGGCAGTTCTCTCCCACTCCATTCCAGTCTGGGAGTGTCTTCCTCCACCTGCCTGGGCCCACGGGGGCACATTGAGTTCCTGTGCTTGGCTCCACAGGAACCCCTGCTGGCCAGGTGGAGCAATTGCAAACTAAACAGTAATAAGTCATCAGGACCAGATGCCTGCCTGACTTCAGTACCGAGCAAACTGGTTGAAACTATAGTAAAGAACAAAATTGTCAGACACAGAGATGAACATAATTTGTTGAGGAAGACTCAACAAGATTTTTGTAAAGGGAAATCATGCTTCACCAATCTACTAGAATTCTTTGAGGGGGTCAAAAAACATGTGGACAAGGGGGATCCAGGGGATATAGTGTCCTTAAATTTTCAGAAAGCCTTTAACAAGGTCCTTCACCAAAGGCTCTTAAGCAAAGTAATCTGCCATGGAATAAAAAGGAAGGTCCTCATGGATCGGTAATTGGTTAAAATATAGGAAACAGAGGGTAGGAATAAATGGTCAGTTTTCAGCATGGAGATAGCTAAATAGAGATGTCCCCCAGGGGTCTGTACTAGGATGAGCCCTATTCAACATATTCATAAACGATCTGGAAAAAGGGGTAAACAGTGGGTGGCAAAATTTGCAGATGATACAAAACTACTCAAGATAGTTAAGTCCTAGGCAGACTGCGACGAGCTACAAAAGTATCTCTCAAATCTGGGTGACTGGGCAACAAAATGGCAGATGAAATTCAGTGTTGATAAACGCAAAGTAATGCACAATGGAAAACATAATCCCAACGATACATATAAATAATGGGGTCTAAATTAGCTGATACCACTCAAGAAAGAGATCTTGGAGTCATTGTGGATAGTTCTCTGAAAACATCCACTCAGTGTGCCACGGCAGTCAAAAAAGCGAACAGAATGTTGGGCATCATTAAAAAGGGGATAGATAATAAGACAGAAAATATCATATTGCCGCTATATAAATCCATGGTACACCCATATCTTGAATAGTGCATGCAGATGTGGCTGCCCCATTTAAAAAAAAAATTGGAATTTGAAAAGGTTCAGAAAAGAGCAACACAAATCATTAGGGGTATGGAACAACTTCCATATGGGGAGAGATTAATAAGACTCAGACTAAGGGGGGATATGATTGAGGTCTACAAAATCATGACTGGTGTGGAGAAAGTAAATAAGGAAGTGTTATTTACTCCTTCCTATAACACAAGAACTAGCGGTCACCAAATGAAATGAATAGGCAGCAGATTTAAATAAACAAATGGAAGTATTTCTTCACACAACGCACAGTCAACCTGTGGAACTTTTTGCCAGAGGATGTTGTGAAGACCAAGTCCATAACAGGGTTAAAAATAGAACTAGATAAATTCATGGAGGATAGATCCATCAATGGCTATTAGCGAGGCTGGGCAGGGATGGTGTCCCTAGCCTCTGTTTGCCAAAAGCTGGGAATGGGTGACGGGGGGATGGATCACTTGGTGATTCCCTGTTCTGTTCATTCCCTCTGGGGCACCTGGCATTGGCAGGATACTGGGCTAGATGGCCAGTGGGTGCCTCATTGTGAAGTCATTTGGATGCTGGAGAGCCCTGGAATTAGCTCATTAGGGAATCAGCGAACATCAGGCACCAGAGTCGGCTTGTTCCACAGCATCAGGCAACATCCTATTCTCTCTACGCTCTTAGGCTAGGTCTATACTACCCGCCTGAATCGGCGGGTAGAAATCGACCTCTCGGGGATCGATTTATCGCGTCCCATCAGGACGCGACAATCAATCCCCGAATCGGCGCTCTTACTCCACCAGCGGAGGTGGTAGTAAGCGCCGCCGACAGAAAGCCGTCGATTTTGCCGCCGTCCTCACAACAGGG